TCTTCACAGAAGCAAAGCCCAAACCACACCCACTGCCGTGGAGTCAGTTCTGGTTCACAGCGCCCCTAGAGGACAGAGGAGAACTCCCCCATGGGGTTTGCTGTAAGCACACAGACATGGGTCATAGAATAATGGAGAGGTGTTTCACTATAGTTTCATGTAAAACTTTCAGGCTAAAGAAAGACTGGGGTGGGGCAGAAGAACAAGGCCCCTGGGAATGGAGAAGGAAGAAACAAAAGATCTCAAAAATCATACTGAAGAGTCGCTGAGCGTGACCCACCAGAGTTCCTACACGCCAAGTGCAGTTGATACTGTTGGGAGGTTCGCGCATTAGATGGGAGACTGCCTAGTTTTTCTCAGTCAGTACAAACTGCTAGGGTGCTGGCTGTCTGCGGCCGCCCGTTTAGGGAAGTGGTTCCAACAGCTGTCAGAACTGGGGCAGAGTAGATCGGCCTCGTAACCATAATCACTCTTAAAGCTTTAGCCATTTTACCTTCTGGCTGAGGATGGTTTCCGGCATAAACCTGGGTTCGTCACGGATGTTTCTCTCACGTGACCATGCTGTCGGGCTAAAATGAGACATACATTTCATGAAGGACTGATGAGCCACTGTAGCACGCAGTGCTAGCTGAATACACAGTTATGGGACCATCACGCCACTACGACTGGGTAACTTCCAGTTCCTACTGTGCCTCTGTGAAGGCGATGGAAAGACCAGCCAGAGGAGTTACGGCTGGTCTCAAATGCCCAAGGACAGAATTCTTATTCATGGAAGGCATGAGGTAGACACGTGGATGGGTCAATGTATTGTTTTTTAAAAATTAGGAAATTAGGACATTTCCAGATAAGCAGAAATTAATGGAATTTGTTACAACCAGACCAGCATTACAAGAGGTGCTAAAGGGAGTCCTTTGGACAGAGAACCAACCACAGCAAACAACCACCGACCGTTAACACACATGATGACATAACCCAGAAACCAACCCAGTTATGGAAGTATCCAAAGTAAAATAAGCCTACAAGATTGTAAACAGGAACCAGAGACATCATTGGCAAATGAGGACAACTACAAACCAAAAAAAGGGAAAATACTGTGTAGTTTTAGAACTTCCAGATGGTGAGCAGGTCAAGAGAGTTGCAAGATAGAATTGATTATTCTAAACTCGGGGAGAAAATTCTGAATCACAGGGTGACCTCAAAGAAAAATGACAGTGACCTTGTGCAGCAGTTCTAGTCTGACCCATGTGGGCTCGCCATACCAGCAGCTGGTAGTGCTTATTGGTAAACCAAAAAAACCAAACCCATTGCCATCATATCAATTCCAGCTCACAGTGACCCCTCCTTGGGTTTCCGAGGCAGTATCTCCACGGAAGTAGATTGCCCAATCTTCCTTCCAGGGAGCGGCTGCTGGGTTTGAACTGCCAGCCTTCTGGTTAGCAGTCAATGCCTTAGGCATTATGCCACCAGAGCTCTTACTGCTAATCCTTAAATGTTTACCTTCTCTATACCTGAGCTTTCTAAATTCAAAAAATCATGCCTCGTTTGACTTTGCCAAAAAACAAAACAAAACAAACCCTAGTTTAACCATTTATCCCCACGTTGGAGAAGCACTTCCAAGTGTCCCTCCCTTGCGTGCGTGCAGGCGTCCTGCGCGGTAGAGCTGCTCAGTTCTCCGTATCCGCGCCGCTCTCCGAGTATGCTCACCAAGCCCCGTCTGCTTCCCCCCAGGAGCATCGAGTCTCTGTACAAGGAGCTCGTGGAGGAAGGACTGCTGGTACAGGCGCTGAAAGTCAGCCTCTCCGACTACATTGGTAACGTGCATGGAGAAGAAGGGATGGAGCGCGTGCCTCCCCTTGCATTTCAAGGCCCCAACAGCCGGAAATAGATCCATTTGTGGTTTTGCCCAAAGCGGCCTGTCCTGGCTGCCAGTCTGTGTTTGTTGGATTCAGCTGAGAGGAGGCTATGACTTAATCAATTATCTTGACCAAGTGGATCGATCTCTCACCCCTTATGTGGTAGAAGCTGAGTTTAAGCCTGCTAGCACACTTCCTAGGAGCTCTGGTGGCGTAGTGCCTAAGGCACTTGACTGCTAACCAGAAGGCTGGCGGTTCAAACCCACCAGCCACTCCTCGGAAGGAAGGTTGGGCGATCTACTTCCTTAGTGATACTGCCTCGGAAACCCAAGGAGGGGTCGCTGTGAGTCGGGTCCGACTCGACAGCACATAACAACAACCACAGCGAGCTCCTTGGGACTGGCTGGCTTTCTGGCATACGTGTGAGGGAAGAGACCTTTCCTGTTTAAACATAAAGCCCCCAGGGGGCCTTCCACAACCAGTAACCAGTTGCCGTGGAGTTGACCCCAACCCCTGGTGACCTGCTCAGGGACCCACTGACCATTCTCCTCTCCTTGGTCCAGGGACATGTCCTCTTCTTCCCTGCCCTCCGGAGCGACCTTTGTGTCTAGGGTGGTGTCCTTCTCCTCCGTCATCTCATTTCCTCAGTCACAGGATGGGGCTGATGGAGCACCTACCAACCCCCTCATTAAACTGCATGACTATTTGTGAACTAGTCTGAGAGGACTCAAACTGCCAACCTTGTGGCCAGCAGCTGAGCCCCTTAACCATTTGCAGCGGCTATTTGCAGTCGTTGAGGTCGAGGGCAGGGGGCGGGAGGATGGTGAGTAATGAGCAGGCCTTGCAAGGCCTGTGATCACTGCCCCCATTTCCTGGTGAACCTTATACAGGAAGCTGGTGGTTTATATATGTAAATGGCCCCATTGTCCATTCTCTACAGTGGAAACGTGAGAGATTGGTTGCACCTCGACCTCTGGAATCCCGATTCCTTACCTGGGCTGGTGCCCCTGTCCTCTTCACATGTCTCTCAGCTCTCTGCTGCTTTGCCTTCCGGTGGTCAGGCTTCTTTGGCTCTTGGATGCCCACTGTCTCAAATACTGCTCCTGCCCTCGTTTCGTTTCCTTCTTCTCTCTCTTTGAAAGACCCAATGTCTCTCCAGGAATCCTAAACTAAGTGCTGAATGAGTGGATAGAGTTCCTGGGTGGTGAAACAATTAAATGCTTGACCATGAGCTGAAAGGTTGGTGGTTCAAATACCCCAGACAAACGTCTGACAGCAGGCCTGCTTCTGACAGGTCAGTGATCTGCTTCTGACAGGTCACAGCCTGGATAGCCCTATGAGCAGTTCTACGGCAGTTAATTAACAGCTCCCACATGGGACAGTTGCCACACACGGTAACGTTTTCCCAAGACTCAGCAAATGACCCAGGCTAGCTGTCCTTAGCACTACTGGACCCGAAACCCACTAATTCAGCTTAAAACAATTTCTTTAGATCAAATGTGTTAGGCTCTAGAACCACTAATCATCTGTTAGTTTGTCATACTGTGGAGGCTCATGTGTTGCTGTAAGGTTGGAGGCTATGCCACCAGTATTTCAATATTGCTGTCCACCCATGGTGGACAGGCTTGAGCACAGCTTGCAGACTAAGACAGACTAGAAAGAAGGATGTGGTGTTCTATGTCTGAAAAAAATGGGCCACTTAAGACCCAATGAATAGCAGCAGAACACTGTCTCAGGTGGTACTGGAAGTTGAGCCCCTCGGGTTGGAAGACACTCAGAAAAATGACAGTCAACCTGGGCAGCAGTTCTAGTCTGACCCACGTGGGCTCGCCGTAACAGCAGCAGGAGTGCTCCTGGTAAACCAAAAAAAGGTGCTCAGACTAGGGAAGAGCTGCCTCCTCAAAGCAGAGTAGACCTTAGTGCTGTAGGGGAGTAAAGCTTTGGGGACCTTCATTTGCTGAGATGCCGCAGCTCAGCAAGAGAAGAAACAGTTGCAAACACCCATTAATAATTGGAACATGGACTGTACGACGTGTGAATCTAGGAAAATTGGAAGTTGTCACAAATGAAATGAAGCTCATAAAGAGTGATATCCTAGGCATTAATGAGCTGAAATGGACTGGAATTAGCCCTTTGAATCAGTCATATGGTCTACTATGCTAGGAATGACAGAGGAATGGTGTCACATTCATTGTCAAAAAGAACATTTCAGGATCGATCCTAAAGTACAGTGCTGTCAGGGATAAGATAATATCCACATGCCAACAAGGAAGACCACTTAATACAACTCAAATTTGTGTCCCAATCACTAATGCCAAAGGTGAAGAAATTGAGGATTTTTACCAATTCTGGTCTGAAATTGATCAAACATACAATCAAGATGCATTGATAATTACTGGTGATTGGAATGCAAACAGTGGAAACAAGAAGGTTTGGTGGTTGGAAAATATGGCCCTGGTGATAGAAGTAACACTGGAGTTTGCATGATAGAGTTTTCTAAGACCAGTGACTTAGTTTTGCAAATACCTTTTTCCGACAACATAGATGGCAACTACACACGTGGACCTCATCAGATAGAATATGCAAGAATCAAATCAACTACACTTGTGGAAGGAGATATTGGAGAGATTCATTATCATGAATCAGAGCAAGGCCAGGGGCCAACTGCTGAACAGACCACCAACTGCTCACATGCAAGTTTAAGATGAGGCTGAAGAAAATTAAAACAAGTCCACAAGGGCCAAAATGTGACCTTGAGTATATCTCACCTGAATTTAGAGACCATCTGAAAAGTAGATTCGATGCACTGAACACTAATAACTGAAAACCAGACAAGTTGCGGGGTGACATCAGGGACATCACACATGAAGAAAGCAGAAGGTCATTAAAAAGACAAGAAAGAAAGAAAACATCTGAAAATGGCTATCAGAAGAGACTCTGAAACGTGCTGCTGAACATAGATTAGCTAAAGAGAATGGAGTAAATGATAAAGTCAAGGAGCTGAACAGAAGACATCAAAGGGCATCTCAAGAAGACAAAGAGTTGCAACGAAATGTGCAAAGACCTGGAGTTCGAAAACCAAAAGGGAAGAAAATACTCAGCATTTCTGTAGCGGAAAGAACTAAAGAAAAAAATTCAAGCTGCGAATTGCAATATTGAAGAATTCTATGGGCAAAATACTGAACAACACAGGAAGTGTCGAAAGAAGGTGGAAGGAATACACAGAGCCAGTGTATCAGAAGAATTGGTCACTGTTCAGCCATTTCAGGACGGAGCATATGATCAAGAACTGATAGTTTTGAAGGAAGAAGTCCAAGGTGCACTGAAGGAATTGGCCAAAAAACAAGCCTTCAGGAATTGATGGAATACCACTGAGATGTTTCAACAAACGAGTGCAACGCTAGGAGTGTTCATTTCCTGATGCCAAGAAAGTTGGAAGGCAGCTACCTGGCCAACCAGCTGGAAGAGATCCATATTTGTGCCCCTTCCAAAGAAAGGTGATCCAACAGAGTGCAGCAACTATCAAACAATATCATTAATATCACATGCAAGTAAAATTTTGCTGAAGATAATTCAACAACAGTTGCAGCCATACATTGACAAGGAACAACCAGAAATTTAAGCTGGATTCAGAAGAAGATGTGGAACGTGGGATATCATTGTTGATGTCAGATGCATCTTGGCTGAAAGTAGAAAATACCAGAAAGATGTTTGTCTGAGCTTTATTGACTATGCAAATGCATTTGACTGTGTGAATCATAACAAATTGTGGATAACATTGCAAAGAATGGGAGTTCCAGAACATTTTATTGTACTTACGCAGAACCAAGAGGCAATTGTTCGAACAGAAGAAGGGGATATTACATTATTTAAAATCTGTGAAGGTGTGTGTCAGGGTTGTATCCTTTCACCATACTTATTCTGTCTGTATGCTGAGCAAATAATCCAAGAAGTTTAAGTGTATGAAGAGCACAGCACAAGGATTAGAGGATTAACGGCCTGCGGTACAGCCTTGCTGTTGAAAGTGAAGAAGACCTGACACACTTACTGAGGAAGAACGACTGCAGTCTTTGGCGTGGATTACACCTCCACATAAAGAAGACAAAATCCTCACAACTGGACGATAAGCAACCTAATAGTGAACAGAGAAAATATTGAAGTTGTCAAGGATTTCATTTTACTTGTATCCACATTCAACACCCATGGAAGCAGCAGTCAAGAAGTCAGGCAGTGTATTGCATTGGACACATCTGCTGCGAAAGACCTCTTTAAAGTATATTTAAAAACAAAAAAAAACAAAAAAAGGCAAGATGTTACTTTGAGGATGAAGGTGCACCAGATCTAAGCCATGGTATTTTCTGTCGCCTCATATGCAGGCGACAACTGGACAGTGATTAAGGAAGGAAAAAAAGGGATGCCCTTGAGTTACTAGGTTGGCAAAGAATATTGAGTATGCCATGGACTGCTAGAATGAACAGATCTGTCTTGGAAGAAGTACAACCAGAATGCTCCCTAGAAGTGAGTATGGCAGCACTTGTCTGAGTAGTCTGGATGGGTTATCAGGTGGGACCAGTCCTAGAAGACATCAGGCTTAGTAAAGTAGAGGGCCAATGAAAAAGAAGTGGCCCCCCAAGAAGATGGATTGACACAGTGACTGTGACAATGGGCTCCAATACAGCAGTGACTGTGAGGGTGGCCCAGTGTTTGGTTCTGTTGTACACAGGCTCACTACGAGTCAGAACCGACTTGGCGGCACCTCACAACAAGGACAACAGGTTCATCTGAGTATTAATACGGATTTACTCTAAGAGGAAATTGGGGTCACTTTCACATCACCTCTAAGGTCCTGTTTACTGGCAGTAAACACTGGATTTGTGGTTGTCACAGGATCGCTCTCTACTCTGGCTGAGGCTAAATTAACGCTCCTCTGTTTATTACCTGCTCATTAGAAAGCGCCAGTCTCCGAAGCCATAACCGAAGCTTGCGTGATCACTCATCTCCTACCAGCACCCAGTGTCCTTGCCAAGGACTCTTGCTTTCACACGGAGGGTTGGAAAGGCTGCCCCCCACAGTAGCCCAGCCATCTTTGTCTGGTTTTTGACTCTAATTTTCGGAGTGTTTGAAAATGCTTCAAAGCTCTTGATACTGGGCACTCAGGTACACACAGACGTGTGTGGTGTTTGTCCTATGGACCTAACGCTGGACACTCAGCAAGGTTCGTACTTCGTGTGGGAAGAAAGGGTCCAAAAACGTAAAGATTCTGTGACTCCTGCAATGAATATTTTCACTCCAGATTCAGGTACAAATCAAGGGAGAATCCTGGGAGCTAAGATTCGGAGCACCTGTCTTCGTGACCAATGGAGATCCGCCAGCTAATTTTCTTGGCGACCTTATCTAAATTAGTCAGAAAATAACGGTTCAGATTTATGACCAGTTATAATTAAGCCCTTTGCTACCTTCTAATTAAAGCTGTGAAGATTTATTTCTGTATCACCCCACTGCTGCTCGTTGAGAAGCCATAGGAATGTGCATGGATAATGCCTTTGAAAGGAGAGCTTTCTGTTTATAAACAGATTTGGACCCCTCCTTTCAAGTGACTGCGTTTCAGATTCCAAGCCACATGGCTCCAATACAGATTTCAGATGCATCTTAAGTAATTTACCCCAAGTTTATGCGATTGTCAGACATAATCTTGTGGAATATGCATAAAGCAGATGCCAGTGGTTCTTCATCCTATTTTGTATGGCCTTCATTTTAGAACTTTGCCCCATTTCCCAATATTCAGCTGTTATTTTTAAAACGCTGGGTCCCTGTCACAACCATTGCGATACTGAGTTTACGGCGCTGGTGTAGCAAGGCTTTCTCAAATGCATGGCTTTAGCCTTCATGCTTTTATCTGAGAAGAGGCGTGTCCTTCCCAACCTCTTCCCATAACCTGGTTGAACCAGTTGCCGTGGAGTTGGGTCCGCCCCCCTGGCACCCCGTGTGGGTCAGAGCAGAACTGTGTTCTGTGGGTTTACAGTGCTGATTTTTCATAAGTGGATGGCCAGGCCCTTCTCCCAAGGCGCTCATGGGCAGCCTCGAACCTCCAGCCTTTCAGTCGGCACCCAAGCATGTTAACGTTTGCCACTCCGACTCCGTAATACAATTCTGTTTGCTGAGAACTGTTAGGTTTGTGTCTGTGCGCGGACCCACAGCACTTCATTCCCTCACCCGTGCTGTTTCTTCCCTGCCCAGGGGAGTACAGCTACCTGGGGACCACTCTTCGCCAAGTGTCTATTGAACCCATGCCTTCCCTGCTGGACGTCAGACAGCTCATCACACTGTACGGAATCCTACCCTTAGGTAACAGCCCCCCACGTCCTGCTGTGCTGTCTCCAGGCGGGGGTGCACTGCTCGCCGGCTCTGACGGTCAAAAGTGTGCGCAGCTAACACGGCCCCGTCAGAACGGCACTGCTGGTCTCGCCGCTCTCCCCTGGGTTGTTGGAGGGGGCCGTGCCTGGCATTCAGCCTCCCGGGTTAGATTAGAGGTGTCACCGAGCCAGCTGAGCCCAAGGCTGGCCTCTGGTTGGAAACCCTTCGGACACATCGTACCACTGTTTGCAGGGTCTCACCAGGGAGTGAGGGCCCCCAGGAGGCCTGGCATAGGACGGCCTTGGCGTCGGGGGCGGAGTTTTGAGCCCTCGCCTTTGACCTTGCAGGGTCTGCAACAGTGCATGAGAAGGCTCCTATGGTGAAATCCCTGCTGCTGGCCGGGCCCTCCGGGGTGGGGAAGAAGATGCTGGTCCACGCCATCTGTACCGAGACCGGCGCCAACCTCTTCAACCTGTCCGCATCCAACATCGCGGGGAAGTACCCCGGCCGCAGCGGCCTCCAGATGATGCTGCATGTGGTCTTCAAGGTACCCACGCCCTCCTGGCTCCCCTTCCCGTCCTTCCTCTGAATTACAGGCCCGGGGCCTGCGACTACAGCGCCTTGCACTTTAATTCCTTAGGCCAACAGGCATGTCTCCCTTAAGTTTCCTTGTCACAAATTACATCCTTACAGCGTCTGGCTGAGCACTTGGCAGTTAGAAACAGCTTCTTTCTGTGCGTAAAGACCCCCCCGTGCCACCCAGAGCAGCCTCCTTCTGCCAAAGGAGCTCTTCCCAAAATGCTTGCTCGTCTCATTGGAAAATAGAACCCGTGACTTCTTTGGTTGGCCCACTTTGCTCCACCGACGTTGGCACTGCCTGGTACTCACTCTTAGGTGGCAGTTCTTGATTGCCGAGCAGCGGTGTCAGCTCGGTGTCGGCTCCTTGCCCAGGTGTGGAGGGCTGGCAGGGCTGAGCCGACCACAGAGGAGAGGGTGCCGAGATCAGCTGACTGACCGCTGTGGGAACCTGGGTAACCTCTCAGCCTCCCTGGGTCTCTGTTTCCTCATCACCAAAATGAAGGGGTAGAAACAAATGATGCTGAGGTGCCCCACAAGCTCCAAGAGCAATGGTTCTCTGACATGGTTCCCGTGGCGAGCCGGGTAGCTAGAGACACACACCATACGTCCTGACACGGTTCCTGTAGTGAGCTGGGTAGCTGGAGATACATACTATACATATACACACGGATAAACACAAAGATCACCAAGTTGTGAGGAATTTCTCTTTTTGAGCCATGCCACATCAGCAAATGAAGGTCTCGACACCTTCTTCACTCCATCCATGTCGTTCAGGTCACCTCTACTTTGAGGGGGGAGCTCTTGCCCAGTCGTATTTTGAGTACCTTCCCACTTGAGGGCCTCCGCTTCCAGCACTATATGAGACGCTGTTCCATTGCTGCCCATAAGGTTTTCACTGTCCAATTATTTTATTTTTAGAAGTAGATTGTCAGGTCTTTCTGGTCTGCCTTCTCTGGAAGCTCTGCTGAAACAAGTCCACCATGGGTGACCCTGCTGGTATTTGAAATATCAGTGGCAAAGCCTCCAACATCACAGCAACATGCCAGCCACCACAGTATGACAAACTGACGGACAAGGGGTGGCCTCAGTGAGCTGATACGAACTGTTGTTATTGGCCATTTTGAATCAGACAGTCATATGGGCCACTGTGCCAGAAGTGACAGACTGAAGTGGAATGGCATCATATTCACTATTCCAAGATCTGTCTGGAAGTATAACACTATCAGTGATAAGATAATACCCGTATGCCTCAGAGGAACAACAGTTGATACAACTATTATTCAAATTTATGCACCAACCACTATTGCCAAAGATGAAGAAACTGAAGATTTACCAATTTCTACAGTCAGAAATTGATCAAACATGCATTCATAGTTACTGGTGATCAGAATGTGAACACTGGAAACAAAGAAGAAATATAAGTGTTCTGGTTCCCTAGTGCCACTCTGATGAGAATATACCACAAATGGGATGACTTTAACAGGCAGGAGTTTATCCTTACAATTTGCAGGCTTTAAGTCCAAGTTCAAAGTGCCAGGCTCTAGGAGGTGGGTGAAAGCCCCTCCGCCTTGGGCTTCAGCTCTGCCTTCTGCTCCCAGCCCACTGAGCTGGAGACTTTTCTTTACTCAGACAGCTGCTGGCTGCTGAGGCTGACAAGACCAAAGTGGACAAGTAAAAAGGCACAGTCCCAATGTTACCAAACCACACAGCAGGCCATTAATTCAAGTCCATTGAAAGTCCCAAGGTTGGCGGAGCATGGCAGGCTACTGAACAACAACATGGCTACATGCAGAGTTCAGGCATGCCAAAAGCTAGAACCCATTCCGAAAGCTGTTTCTTATATACAGGAAACAGACCACATCCCTAGAGCAGCTACTCAGGTGCTTGTGGTAGGTCCCACCATGGAGCTAATTGCCAGTCTCATCATGGGGAATAACTACCACCAGCTGCCCAGCCACTCAACCGGGCCCAGCTAAGTTAACACACAGACATAACCACCACACTAAGTATTTGGAAAATATGGCCTTGGTGATAGAAATTATGCCAGAGATCACATGATAGAATTTTTGCAAGATCAATGACTTATTTATTGCAAATACCCTTCTTCAGCAACATAAATGGTGACCATGCACACGCGCATCACCAGATGGGAAACACGGGTCGGATTCACTGCGTCTGTGCATAGAAATGAGGAGACGCTCAATAGCAGGTCCAGACAAGGTCAGGGACAGACCGTCAGTTGCTCCTGTGCAACTTCAAGTTGAAACTGAAGAAAATTTAAACACGTCCCTGAGAGGCAAAGTATGACCTTGAGTATATCCCACCTGAATTCAGAGACTAGAATTTAAGTTTGAACACTAATGACTGAAGACCAAATAAGTAATGGGATGACATCAAAGACATCATACATGAAGAAAGTAAAAGGTCCTTTCAAAGGCAGGGAAGAAAGAAAACACCAGAGTGGATGTCAGAAGAGACTCTGAAACTTGCTCTTGAATGAAGAGTAGCTAACAAGAATGGAAGAAGTGACGGAGTAGAAAAGCTGGACAGGAGATTTCAAAGGGTGGCTCAAGAAGACAAAGTGAAGTATTATAATGAAATGTGCAAAGACCTGAAGTTAGAAAATCAAACAGGAAGAACATGCTTGGCATTTCTCAAGCTGAAATAATTGAAGAAAAAAATCATGCCTCAAATTGCAATATTGAGAGATTCTATGGGCAAAATATTGAACAATACAGGAAGCAACAAAGAAGGTGGAAGGAATACACAGAGTCGCTGTACCAAAAAGAATTGGCTGATATTCATCCATTTTAGGAGGTAGCATGTAACCAAGAAGCAATGGTATTGAAGGAAGAAGTCCAAATTACACTGAAGACATTAGTGAAAAACATGGCTCCAGGAAATGACGGAATACAAACTGAGATGTTTTCACAAACAGGTGCAAAGCTGGAAGCACTCACTCATCTATGCAAGCAATTTGGAAGACAGCTACCTGGCTCGTTGACTTAAAGAAATCCATATTTGTGTCCATTCTGAAGAAAGGTGATAAAACAAAATTTGGAACTTACTGAGCAATATCATTAATGTCACATGAAAGTAAAGTTTGGCTGAAGATAGTTCAAAATTGGTTGTCGCAGTGTATTGACAGAGAACTGCCAGGAAGTAAAGCTGAATTCAGAAGAGGGCTTGACTTGAAGGATATCTTTACTGATACTGGATGGGTGCTGGCTGAAAGCAGAAAATACCACAAAGATACTCGCCTGAGCCTTATTAACTATGCAAATGCATTCAGCTGTGTGGATCGTAACAAATTATGGCTAACATTGCAAAGAATAGGGATTATAGAACATTTCATTTTACTCATATGGAACCTGTACATTGGCCAAGAGGCAGTCATTTGAACAGAACAAGGGTGTACTGCGTGGTTGAAAATCAGGAAGGGTGTGCATCAGAGTTGTATACTTTGACCATACTTCTTCAGTATGTATCCTGAGCAAATAATCGAGAACTGAACTATGTGAGGAAGAACATGACATCAGGATTGGAGGAAGACTCACTAACAGCCTACAATATACACATGACACAACCTTGCTGGCTGGAAGTGAAAAGGAATTGAAGCACTTATTGATAAAGAGCAGAGACTACAGCCTTCAGTATGGATCATACCTCAACATAAAGAAAACAAAAATCCTCACAGCTGGACCAATAAACAGCATCATGATAAGTGGAGAAAAGATTGACGTGGTCAATGATTTCATTTTACTTGGATCTGCATTCAGCACCCATGGAAGCAGCAGTCAAGATACCAGAGGACATATTGCACTGGGGAAGTCTGCTGCAGAAGACTTCTTTAAAGTGTTAAAAAGCGAAGATGTCACTTTGAGGACCCAAGCCTGACCCAAGCCATGGTATTTTCCATTATCTCATATGCATGGAAAAGCTGGACCGTGAATAAGGAAGACTGAAGAAGAATTGATACCTCTGAATTGTGGTGGCAAAGAATGTTGAATATGCCGTCGATTCCCAGAAGAACGAACAAATCTGTCTTGGAAGACATACAGCCAGAATGCGCCTTGGTGGTGAGGTTGGGGTCTGTCTTGGAAGACATACAGCCAGAATGCGCCTGGTGGTGAGGTTGGGGAGACCTTGTTTCATGTGCTGTGGGCATGTTATCAGGAGGGACCAGCTCCTCCTGGAGAAGGATGTCATGCTTGGTAGAGTAGAGGGTCAGCGAAAAAGAGGAAGACACTCAATGAGACGAAGAGACACAGTGGGTGCTATGCCGGGCTCAAGCATGGCTGCATTGGCAAGCTCAAAGATAGAAGTGGTTGTGAGGATGGCGCAGCACAGGCCAGTGTTTTGTTTTGTTGTACGTCAGGTCAGTAGGAGTCAGACCATCCTGACAGCACCTGATAACAGCAACAACAAATTGTGATGCTGGACATTTATTTTTCATATTAAAACTTTACAAGATTTAGCTTTTATTTTGTTGAGTAGTTATACTCTTGCTCTCTCTGGTTCTCACACTGGATGATTTCTGTTGGTCTGTATTCAAGCTCACTGACGCTTTCTTCTAGCATCTTCTGTCTGCTATTAAGCCCATCTTGTGGAACTTCCCTCCCTCCCCAGATATTTGTGTTTTCAGTTCTAGAATTCCATTTGATTCTCCTGGTTTTCACTTCTCCGCGGTGGTTCCCTTCCTGTTCATTCCTCATGACTGTCTTTCCCTGCAAATCTTTGCACTTAATAGCTGTCTTATACACATACTCTACTACTTTCAGTACTGGGTCATCTTGGGGTCTGTTTCTGTTTAGCTGCTTTTCCTTTGATTGTGTGTTACATTTTTATGTTTTCTTCATATGATCAATGGTTTTATTGTGTACCAGACATTGTGAATGGTATGTTGCAGAGATTCCGCAGCATGCTGGGCTTTGAATTACTGATGAATCAGCTTGAACTTGCAGCGGT